CGCGGAACATTCGTTATTCAGTCTGTTATGTAAGATTTTAACAAGTTGACGAATTACACTGGCAAGAATTTGTTAAGTTTGTAGAGCAAGTTCATGCCAGACTTCACCTCTTCTCCTTCTAGAGCTTTTTCTATGATGTCGATCAGACGATGAACTTGTCCTATTGTTGAGTGTCTCTGCCTAAATCCAACCGGGTGATTCGGTAGTAGATTCTTTTCTTCAATAATTGTTTTCAATCGTTTGAGGAATATTTTTTCAAGTAGTTTTGACATGATAGGCAGAAAAGGAATCGGTCTGTAGGATTTCATTTCTATAGCTTTTTGTCCATACTTTAAAATCATTATCATCTCTGCGATTTTCCAATGAACCGGGACATGCCTCAGTCTAAATGTTGCTTTGACCAACAGTAGTAACATTTTTAGTCCATTCGTAGGTAACACTAGTCAAAGGGATGAGATCGTATCCTGGTGATTTTTTGGGTTGAGGTTGAATTTTAGCTCTCGTTTGAGCTCTTCTAATTGTTTTGTGCCAACTATTTTCTATTTGTGGAGGGCACTCATTTGAGTCTATTGCCGCTTGATTCGGAGTGAAGATATTTTGTGAGTAGCAAAGTATCAGCTTTTTCCTGATCAGTTTTGGCATATTCGTTGTCTTTTTCGGACTCGGAGGAGTTTGTACTTTTATCCGCTATTAGATTTTCCAAGAACGAGTTGTTTGCAGGATTTCCTTTTAGTTGCTGGATAAGCCTTTTAGTTTTTTGAGATTCGGAGTTTAATTTGGTCTTTATCGCAGGATCTCTGGTTGCTTGCCAATTTCGTCTAAGTTTCCTTTTATTTTTTTTACCCGATTTTTTTTACCAGATTTTTTTCAGCAGAATATTTTTATCAGATTCCATCGGTTAGTTAAATCTGGGGGTTTTAAGGGTGACTGTTTTGGTGTTGGTCCAAACCGTTTGTCTGTTGGCCAATACGTTGGTTTACCAGATGAATGTACGTTACATCCAATCTTATCGATGGCCTTTTTCAGCTCTCTGCCTTCGTATTATCCAGTCTCGAGTCCCGAAGTGAGTGTTTTGCGTTGAAATCCTCATGCAGGATGAATCTGTCCCCCATGTGCTTGAGGATGAACAAATAATATTCTTCTTTGAGGTTACGACGAGGGGCCAGGTAGACTGCTCCAACTTTAAGGCGTTTTTTGTTGATGAATCGACTAATACGGTTAGCTGAATTTTATCCAACTGTATGCTGAGATCTTATATCATTATATTTTAAACTATTTTCTATGAATATAGCGCTGCCACCGTTAGGTTGATTATCCGGATGAATACTGTGGTGTATGTTGTATCCATTTATTTTAATGTGACTTTGGTTGGTGAGATGAGTATCAGACATGAAGCACCTATCAATTTTGTTTTCTTTCAGATATACGGAAAATTCTTCTATTCTGTCTCCTATGTTCCAATCCGTAAATCTTTAAGTCATAATTATTTCTTAGATATGCATACTTTTATTTGACGGAATTCTACTCTTAAGTGAGTTTAGTCTGTTCGATAGCRTCTTGATTGATTTTTCCAGCAATTCGAACTTTTTTTCTGCAACTTCTGCATTATAGCTTTCATTAGGGTGAGCGGGTGAGCATTTCATTATCATTTGTGTAATTTTTCCTACTTTCGCTTTACATATTATTCTTAACCATCTGAGCTGGATTAACTTTTGTGTTTGTAAAACTTTGCTTTTGAGTTGAGGTGTCTTCAGAGACCACGTTCGTTCGTTTTTGTTAGAGCTTTCATCTCTCTTTTGTTGTAGCTTTTTGCAACTTTACATCTACTATAATTGGGTGGATGATTTTTCTGGCAATTAACGCACTTGGCTTCCGTGTTTTTTGGCTTTTTACATACATCAGTTAGATGGTTACCTGCATATTAGACACATCTAGGAAACTTGATGCGGTATGCGTTTGTATGGCCATACTCTTGGCGTTTCTTGCACTGGGGATCATTTTATTTGTTCAAAGTGCTTCAATGGTGAACTTCATGCTATTAATGTGTTATATGTGATTAATGTGTATAGATGACGATCTGATTTCATAAACTTTTTTGATGTCTGTTCTGTCGCTGAAAGTTAGTATAAAGAAGGAGAGTCTCTTTTCGACTCTTTCCCCGTTTGATCCTTTCGTTATATTTAGCTTTTGATTTCGAATCCACGTCAGTTGAAAAATGTAGATTTCTTGCCATTACTTTGATGTCTCTCGTTTGTTTATTTTCGTACGTGTACCATTTAAAACTGTTAAGGTTTAGAGCAACATTCTCCTGAAGTCATTTAGTCATTCTCCTGTAGTCATCACTTCTGGCCGTATTTATTTTAACTTTGTTTTAGTTGATACACTTTTTATTGTGTTCAATCTTATTTAATTTTGAGGAACAATTGTGTTCAATATTTTTCAAGGTGGTTTTTTTTCATTTAGTTGTTTAATGTCGTTTGTGTACGTGGGTCGCCAAACTTCTAGCAAAAATGTGTTTTCCAGAAACAAACAGCGCTTTAGGTCTTCGAAAATTTAAACTCTCCTGGCGCTAAAACGCTGACCAAAACAAACTTTGAACTGCAAGAACTTTTTACGCCAAGTATATAAGCTTTGACCGAGTTTTTGAATTTCGGAAAAATGTGAAATTTACCCTGAAACTGACCGAGTTACAGGGTAAAGAGTGGAATAATTTGCAAGTTTGAGAGTTTTACGATTGTCAAGATTCGGAGCCCATTTCCTTGCAAACACTCGCAAAACAAATTTTATTATAGACAGTGAATGTGTCGAGATTCTGTGTCGATCGTTGTATTTTGTTCGGAAAATCGTCTTTTCGACCTTAAAAACATGACCAAGTTTTTTAACCGACTACAATTTTCCCAGATGCAAATTAACAGTTATGCAGAAAATCTCTACATAGAAAACGCTGTTTTTCACAAAAAATGCGACCTTAAATACACAAAGAAAACATTTATAATATTTGCCTTGAAAAATCATCTTTTCGAGCTTCAAACTCTTATGACTTTTAAGTTTCTCAAGTGATTTCAAGTCAACTTTCAACTTTCGTTCGCGTTCGAACGATCCAAATCGGGCCAATATTAAGAGAGTTATTTATTTAGTCATACTGAAGGATCCGATGCGCCATATAATTATAATAACAGCATATAATATGTGTATCAATCGCGTTGGTGTTTGTCATCTTACAAAGTATTTATGTTCTTAAATTATCCATGAAATACTACTATACTATAAATTCTTTTTTCAAATTTTACCATTTCGGAATGCCATGGACCATTTAAAACGAAATAACTACCCTGTTGGAAAATTCTTGAAGCCAAACTATTAAAAAGTTATGGTTGCAACCCGAAGCAAATTCAAAGAACCGCCTATCGCTCACCTGGGGGTTGGAGCTACCTTTGAAATGTCAGAAAAGGAATGATTTACATTTACAGATTATAAACGATGATATTAATTCTGACTTTTCGAGGTTTCTCAAATGTTAAATAGATTTGCAGCTTGAGCGAACAGCAGGTATAAAACAATGCATTTATAATTCGGATGAAATAGGTTGGTTATTAATTTTGTTTGTAAATCAGAGTTGGTGGTAGTCCGTGGGAATTTCGTACATGTACATATATAGAAAACCATCTGTTCGCGGTTCTCCGGGAGAAATTCGATATTTTTAGAGACCATTCATGTATCAAGTGCATCTGCTTTTTTGAAATCATATTTCCTTTTCCATATCGGATCGTCAATCTGCCAATTCATAGCACTTTCAATAAATAACATGTTGGTGTCTTCAGTAAAGCTAAGCACTTGCTAGGGTATGACTAGAGTCACTTGCTAATATCACTCAATTTGAAATTCATATTACCTAAACAGAATTTATGCATTTTCAATCTGGAACCGCAGATAAATTCGGTCCTTTCAAAGTTCCTTTTTGCAACCCATTGTAATGTCAACAGGCAATATTCATAACAAAATATATCTTTAATCTAGGTGATATTTGGAGCGGTGGCTTTTAAGTTGCTATGCTAAATACATTTAAACGATAACAAATCGATTATTTTCTTGTTTGTTTCGACCTTCGCTAAGTCCTTGTGGTCAGGCCAACAATGAAAAAAATTATAACCAAATCGATCTCCACATGATGCTGTTTTAGTGAGAATTCCTCAAGTCAAAATGTCAGACCTCTCTCTAAGCCATCGGATCAAAAATATGCTTGGTCGAACATCGACTCATATTTCGTGTTTCGGAGCGATTTATCTCTGTAATCTTGCAGAGTAATTTCTGGACAGCCGAAAAGAGGTATTCGAAAGGATCTTAAAAGGTTGGAATTAACGTTTTTTAAGCTATTATTTAGCCCGGTGCCTTCGAGTTCTAATCAGGGAATGACTGGAGAATTATTTTAATTATAATTCCAGCTATTTTATTAATCGTTTGTCTAGAAATAATTACACTGAAGTAGGTGGATCAAATGATCTTTTTCTTATTGTTCTTTGCTATTCAATCAGTTGTTTAGGTATTGTTGTTTTCGTTTTTAGTTTTTTCAGTTGTAAGCATTGCCTGTTTTCAAAAGCTGAACCCATTTCCGAAATGTTGGTTCGTTGGAATCGAGAATTTTTCGATTCGCATGAAATTTTCGTCATATTTTCCAGTCGAGCTCGCATATATTTCCCATCGCAAAAAAATAATGAATAAAAGGTGAAATAGCAACGAAATAAAGCGTTGGGTACCATTACTTCCATAAATAGTTGCTAAAGGAAGCGCATTATAATCAAATTAACTGAATAAACATAAAACGGCACCAAGTAAACTATTCAAATGTATCCTCAGTATTTTAATATTTAACGACATCTTCATATTCTCCCTTTTGTTCAAACACAGTGTTGCACGTTTGAGCCCAGTAAAATAAACAACACTGATCACAATCAACAAAAATGCCATACATATTTTATTGTTTACTTTTCGTTTATTGCGCCTTAGTTCGGTTTATTAGCATTTTAACCGGCATTTACGATTAAATGTAGTTAATACAGTGATTTATGAATAGTGTAGGGACATCGATAAGGACACTCTCAAGGAACCAAATTTCTTGCAAACTTAAGTTGTTGCTTAAGTAAAAAACATACACCTACAAGCTTGTGGGAGAAAGTCAGTTTCGACAAAATCCTGTTTTATAAATAAATTTTAAGCTATATCGATTCTGCTCAGTTTTGTGTAACAACGAAATCAGTAGTTTGGCCAATTTCTGACTGAAAATGATTTAAAAAAAATGTTTTGTGAATTAATTTCTGTATTGTTTTTCTGAATGTATAGTTCTTCTATTGAAAATGGTATTTTTGAATAAATAATTATGGCACAATGGCGTGTAAAATAACAAATATATTCAAGACAAAAACACAGCCTTTCAGCCGATTTCGTTTGGAGAAGATTATGGCAAAAAAGACGGTTGCTTTAAAGTTTAGTTCTAAAATTCCATAAACAGAATCAACATTGAAAAGCACAGGTTTCCTGAATTCAAATCGACCGGCTGTTTTGCAGATTAATTTTTTGGTATTCCTAAAACGTTTAAGTTGTCGAATTAAAAATAATGGCTCAGAAATAAAGTTGTATTCGTAGAAGAATGTTAATTAAAAAATGCCAATAAACAAATGCAAATTTAGTTTTTTAAATAATCTGCCCATTAATTTGGACTAACTCAAGAGGATTCACATTATATCAAAATGTCTATAGCTGGTGATTAATAATGATTAGGGAAAAATGTTAAATTAAGAAGGAAACTTCCTATTAAAACGTTAGGGAGGAAGCTGTTTCTTACTTGCCACGCAACAAAAATATGGTAAACTAGAGCTTTTCACGTATTAATAGATTTACCGTTATAGTGATTAAATTAATTAAATTATTAGTTTCCTTTCAACTCTTTTCATAGTAAAAAATCAGCACTTAACTCGGAATGAGTTTGAATTTTTTAGGGACAATGTTTAAAAGCTACTGAGCTTGCCTTGTACGTTCGCCTTGTCTGAATGGCATTTACATTTCAACAATATATAGAAAATCTTGTAACAGTAGAAAATTGGTAATAAACTGTTTGTAATATGCAGACACCCACACTAGTAATTGTAGTAATGGTTCATTCAAGGATTATGGTTGTGGGCAGGTTGTTCAGTTCTTGGTTAAGATCCTGCTTCTTACAGACAGTTTATGAATGATTTTTTCGCTTTGAGACAAGCTAATTATACGACTTACCAAAGGATTTAAAGCTGCTTTAAGGTTTGACAAGATTTACAGAGTTTGAACTTTCAAACGCTTCTAAAGAATGAAGAGATGGAACTATTGAGCATTTTAAATGAGGAAATCAGTATATTTTAGTAGTGCAATATGGAGATTTACAAGATTTTTTGCTTCAAATTTGTTTAAAACTAGTAAAAGCAGTCTCCCCAATATCTCGACTGACGACTGAAAAATGTTATATTTTATTGTAATATGTATATCTGTATGTAAATCTCTTTGAATCTACGACACATTTTCAACATGAATAAATGAAAGGTTTTTAAAATAGACTCAGGTCAAAATATCATGGAAGTTTAAGTTTTTTAGAGACTTTATAACTTATAAAGCGAAGGCACAACGACACTTCACTTCCTTAAAATGTATAGACATTGAGAGCGGGTTTGTAAATTTATAAACGTCCATACATTGTAATCCTTAATGGAAAATTTCCATCCTGAATTTAAGCAGCCCTTGATTACGGAGCATTAAAACACTCTTAGAATTATCCGACTAAATTTTAAAAAAAGTTAAGAGGAAACGTTTGTCTACAGGTATAATTAAGTTGAAATTTACAGACAGAAACCTTCGAAACTATTGTCTCTCGTTCATATTAAATCGACCCAGAATAGCCATAGGTCAGATTGAAAGGGTAATTCTACGTTTTTGATTACGGCATGATAAGCTGAATTCTATGCAAATCCGAACACACACAAAATTTACAATTGAATTTTTATTCAAAGGTTAAGTTAAGGTAGCCAGTTGCTTTACATTATAATGTTAATGGGAACCGATTGACTAGTTTAATAGAATTGCGAGCAATAATTGGTCGTTTTCTATGTCCTTCAAATGACTTTAAAAAGGTCCTGTAAATGTCTGTAAAATCAATGCTGCTACATGGCGAATCTCAAAAAAGGGGGCGCACTAAACTATGCGCTCTTAGGCAAAACGTTTATGTAAATTCTTGGATGGTGTTTGAACGGTTCTTGTAAAATATCACAAAATTATTAGTTTGGGCTCCTCACATGGGCATTTTCGCCCTGAAAAGAAACAGCGAGCATTTATTATAATACCAATTTTAACTCTTGCAATGACCTAAAGATATGGAAAATTATAGATATTTAACCTGGGTTTGATRGAGGTTTTAATATACCATGTTCAAAAACAACAACCAGTGGGAACTTAGCAGATATTAGTCAAGTCTAATCTTCAGTTTTTTTTAGCATTGGATCAGTATTCAATTTTTTCTCAGCCWAMAGAGGGCTGTTTTAGCATAATTAATTCCCTGATAGTTAATTTTAAATTAACGATATTTCCAAAGTTCTTTSTTATTTTTGAATCGACATTCCGAAAATTRAACATCTCGTTATGGCATTACGTTGGCGTTTTAATAACGCTCATTGCCCCGAAAGTTCATTCGTTTCAGATTCAGTCTCTTCTAGTAAAAGATGAAGAAATGTTAAATTTCGTTAAACCCACGTGCCGCTTTTTTAGCGTAGGTAAAATACGGCGTACGTTTTAAAGTACCTACTTTCTTCTTCCGTATTTTAATCCCGTAACAGCCCATATCACCCACACCTGGCTAATAAGATATCTCGAAAAAACTGAGCAGCTACAAAGTGCGTCTCGAGGTTGAAATAAAGACATAAAAACATGTATTTTGTTTAATGCTGGGCCTTGTATATTTTTACGAGTGCGGATCAAGTACTGAAACGGCCATGGTTGCGTAAGCTTGCACTAGCAGATAGATGCTTTGGACGTAATCCATTTTTGAAGAACGCCGTGTAAATTTAGATTCAAAAGTAATTGCATTTTTTATTTTGTATAATTCTCGAAATTCAACCCGAAAGAAAACGAAATTCTGTGGAAGCATGGARTGAGTTTTGCTCTATTTTTTTGCCATATAAAGCGCTTTTCAATCTCGACYGGTGTAGTTGTAATGCATTTTTGAACAACAGCAGGAAAATTTAGWGGCGAAAGATATTGAAAGTTTCAGTTTGAATAATTCTCAAAATTCAGCTCAAACGTCCAACAAAACAAACCAGTGAGGAATCATAACGCGAAGTTTATTACACTCTATTTATTATTGCAAAAGGCGCTCTTTAATCTCTTGCAATTAATGTTTGAACCATGGAACCAGGTTAAATTTAGACGCAAAAATCGTTGCAAGTCTTACTCTGAATAATTCTTAAAATTCGTCGCAAACCTCCAAGGAAACGAACATCGCAGCAATCATGTGGTGATGTTTGCTCTATTGATTGCCACAAAAACCGGGTTTAATAGTAATACATTTTCGAACAATGGTGGGTAATTTTATTCTCGAAATTCATTGCAAGTCTCAGTTTGATACCTCATTGATCTCATACCTCCAAAGATACTAATCGCTCGGCAATCATGTATTGAAGTTTGCAGTGCGGTCTCGCATCTCTACAGGTTTGGTTGTAAAACATTTCTGAAGGAAAKCTGCGAAATCTATTCCCAAATTCTAGGCAARAMKCACTTTSAAAAATTTTCAAAATTCAATTTATTGCTCCAAGGGAACGATTGTCTGAATAATCGTAGAGTGAGKATGGTTCTATTTACTTCAAAATTACGCTCGTTTCTATCAGGACGCGTTTGGTCGTCATAATTTTTGAACCACGGCGGGTAAATTTAGATTCAAAAGTAATTGCATTTTTTATTTTGTATAATTCTCGAAATTCAACCCGAAAAAAAACGAAATTCTGTGGAAGCATGGAGTGAGTAAAGACTAAAGACATTCTAAGTATCACTTTGAATACTTTTTAAWAGTAGGCCCACACTTCCAAGGAAACAAACCTCTGAGAAATCATAAAGTGAGCTTTKCTCTATCTAAATTTGTTTGGTCGTAATACATTTTTGAACAGCGACTGGGTAAATTTAGTCAATCAATGCAAATTTCACTTTGAAAAAATCKAAAAGTTCAGCTCAAACTCAGCTTCTTCAMAGGGTTTAGTTTAGGAGTTAGCTCTAAAGCGTTGGGGAAGGAGARTTTTCKACTGSCSTTAAAGARTATCATGTTRATTATYTAAAATGCTSTTTTCTGATAARAARAATCGATGAGTTTRARGMMAAATCATTCGGGKTGTTTGRTGGTGGGAAATGAAGTAATTTTGATTCCATGGGGTCCTATTCAATTTTACAAAAAATTGTTTAATTTTTTGGATATTCACGTTTTTGTCTATGTGAAAGCTAAAAGGAAAAAATGTTATCGTTCATTACAGCTTTACTCACACTTCAAAGCAAATCTTAAGCGAAACGGAAAAAATTACTGAAATTGTATTACTTTTTGAATAAAATAGCGAATTATCAAGAATGATGATTATACAAATGTAATTTTGCTTCGAACACCGCACTGTACTTTGCTTTAAAAGCTTTAGTGGTCAATATTATACCTATTATTAGTCAATAGTTACTAAATTTAACATAATATTATTCTCCCATTCGAGCTTATTACTCGAACAAACTTTTTCAAACCTTAAAAAAGTTATACCATGAAGACATTTGAAAGTTTCTCTGCTTGTTCGACGAACATTTGTTCATAAATTCGTCGACTGGAATTGAAACCATTGAAACGCACAGGGAACTTTATATAGTATGTATTTAACACCCTGTGTATGCAAACAGCCCAACACATTGTCATGAATTAATGATTGCTTATAGAGACAACATATTAAGAAAATATTTACAACTTTTTCTTTCGCATATGGCCGTTTGACTGGAAAGGGAAGGAAATCAGATCACACGCAAAGTTAATTTTTTACTTCATTCTTTGGAAATCGTTAATATGTTAATTGAGCAATTTTGACTTCACTTTGTACTTTTTAGTAAAGAAATGTTATAAACTCTACTTGCTCGTTTGAAAAAACCTATTGAAAACATGTCTGCAATTTTTTCTTTTGCATATTGCTTGTTTAACTTGCTCTTGCGAGGAAATCAGAACAGATGTATAAACAAAGGATGTTTTTTAGTTTATACTTATATATAGTTCTTTTTAGGAAAGAAATTAGTTGAATTATGATAAAACTTTGCTTATACGTTGAATCTACGAAGTAATGTAAAAGTAACTTTCTTTTTCAGATGCAGCAAGTTTTGCAATCAAATCTTCATATCTGACGACACTACTAGATAAGGTAAGTCGTTCTAATATTCGAATTTTTATGCGAAACTGATCCCAGTTCCTCGTAAGCTTGCAGATATTTCTACCGCCATTTATTCATCGAAATTATCGAGTTTTCGTTTGTAATAAAATAACATCTTCATCATTCTGTTTCACGCTGATATCGGACTAGGTGTATGCTCCAAAAAAAAGATCTATCTCCAAATTTCCACCACAACTTATATTTACAAAGTACTCGACCCGTAGTTCATGGTTATTTAAATAAGGCCTAAAGTCGATGTGGTCTCTTTAAACCGAAAACAAGTTTCGTATTTCCTAGATGCCACGTGCGACCCGACCATTCGAAAATATGGGCTCTTAGAAAAGCCAGCCGGGCCCATGGTTGTGGGCTGCAGTCGGTTTCTAATAGTTTATCACATAGATGCCAAGTTGTCTATGGTATAAAATCGTATTTTTTCGATAAAACCCTGGCTCACTTGTGATCCGAATGGAAAATGATTGAGTGTTGTGAACGGATTTCATTTGCACCAATTTGGAAGTGAGAGCTTGGCGAAAAGCTTACAAAACCGGTGCTAAATGAAGCTTTCTTAAACCGTATGCTTGCAGTTTGGGAATTAATAAAAAAAGCATTCTCAAGTCTTCCGGTTGCCAAAAAAACGGAGTGTGCTGCAACAATTGAAACCAACTGATTGGAATGCAAAGTGAATCCTTGGCGCTGAGCTTGGAAGCTCGATGAAAACACGCACTCTTCTACTACCACAAATTTGAAAATGGTACCAACATTTTTTAAAAATATGAGTTACTGTTGCATAACCACTTTGCCTCATAGAAGTCAGAATATATTGAACAAATTCCGCTCCATTGTTCTGAGAAAAGCACCACTCGCTCCTGTCCAATACACACTGACCAAATAATTTTGAAAGTCACCCATTTGCAACTTCAGAAAAGTCAAAACTTTTCCCCGCTTTTACATAACTGCAATCAAAATCTGCACCTTTTCTTAAACTATAAAGTAATGGTTGTGCTTCTGGCCATATGGCAACGCAGGAGCACAAAGAAATCTTAACGCCTACTGCACTAAAGTGCATGCATGTCGCTGTAAAATTGCGTCACAGAATTGTAAAACAGTAAATTTTGAAAAAGTTGAATGGAATTAATTGGTATCTGGCAAGCCTTGGTCTAGTAAATCGAAATGCTAAGTATGTACCTACTTGTTGTAATTCTCTATCGGCCACTGAATTTAAAGTCCATGAAGCATGTCGACGTGTAAACGGTCAACAGTTTCTTCGTTTTGTAATAAATACGATCAACTATTATTCGACGAATCGATTGACCCTAATTTCAGAGGGAGTAATGGATTTATTTATTATAAATGAGCGTTCGTTTCGGTTAATGGACAAGTACAAGGTCCTGGTGAAGATTTGAATTATTCAGTTGAGGGTATTTATAGACTTTATTATTGGACACTTACAGTAATAACTTACTAATCTGAAAATAACTATTTTAGCTAGTAGCTTCCTCGACAATAGATTGTAAAGCTATATCGCCATAAAGACAAAATGTGTTATTAGTTACAACAATTAGAAAAACATTGCCAGTTAAGCTATCAATTTAAACCTTTCAAACATTACAAAGGGAAAAGATTAACTTTATGTCCTTAAAAGCATTAGGTTTAATCAAGGTGCTTTCAGCAGACAAATTTACCTGATCTTTAAACTCAAACCTCTCTTTGGAAGAATGCAGACAAATAAGCCTTTTCAATTATCAAACGAAAGAGAAATCCGTTAGGTAGCCTTCTTAAGCACACGTACCAAGAACTGGACTTGTTCATATTGACAGTCACTTTTAGCGCAGATGATACCAGGTAATGAAAGTTTATTTGCACCTTCACAATTCAACTTGCTGCAAAAGGGTTTCCAGTCCTTTTTTGAATTTTTCAGTATATGCACAAAGAAGTATGTAGAATTGTACGAATTGAATATTTTTTCTCGATTTCTCAGAGTTTACATAGATGAAGAAATCTATTTAAGAGGAACAAAATGTTTAATTAATAGGTAAATCCTGCCCATTTTACCGACATGTATAGCTAGTCCTCTAGGCCTGAATGTAATAAAAATAAATTACATCCATAACGAAAAACGCAAAGTTAATAAATAGTAGTGGAACTTGAAACAGAAAAAAATCAATCTATTTTCAACGGTCATTAAGAACGCTTATAGACCATATTAAGTTATGGAACCATATTAAGACTAGGAATAACATTTGCTACAATGTATAAGAGTAAATCATTGGAAATATATTTTATTTTCTCAATTCTTCTTAGTAAATTGTGCTTCATCTGGATCAATATGATTCGTTATTGCGTCTGCTTAAACTTATGTATTGTTAATTTTGCCAAATACTTAAGTATGCAGTGTTTTTCCATCCAGAAGACCAAAAAAGAAATAAAATATGCCTTACTTCAAATTTGCAAACTTGTTGTTTTATTACAACGCAGAAAGCTACATTAGTGATGAGTTGTCAGTTATGCAACTTTGTTCTTTGTATTATTTAATTATTTTTTAATCTGTTTATTATTTTGAATTTTTTCGTACTTAAATTGGTGTATTTGCAAACCGTAAAACTATTATAGTTTTCACAAGTGAAAAGATTCGTTAGTGGATGGGCGGTTGACCTTTGGTTTTTTACAAAGCACGTCTTATTGTCTTTTTATTATTATTTGTCTACATTATTCCAATTGATTTTTGACGATATTTGCTAACTGATTTCTTATATTTTCTATAAATTTGTTATTTATATATTCGTGTTGTAAATATTTAAACTTGTGTGGCACCGTTCCTGCCGTTAACAATTCGTTGACCGATTTTCACCTCATGTCATTATTTGCTTAAACAACTTAAAACAGGTCGTCCGAAAACGATGTCAGAATGTTTTCGATCAAAAAATCTCAGACAATACTATCAGCGTTTCCATCAATCGCTTGAGAATCGGCGTATTATACGAAAAACCATCGAAACAACCATAAACATGAAAACACTCTGTATTTCGTGTAGCAAAGTCCGAAGGAGTTTGGTTCTTCCATATTCGATTTCGATCCCACGTACAGATATGCGCTGCGATAAGATTGGATGGAGAATTCAGCTTTTTCGGGATCTTTCAAATAATTCTGCGCCTTTTTTGGCATTTTTAGTATTGGCGAGAATGGTCTATTAGTGTCCACTTTAGTCGATTTATTTACTAGTCATCGGACTTTGAAGGAGATTCACAAGTGTTTGAATCGAAATTCGAAGCATGAGGTGAGAATTTGAAAATCTACAGCGTACAAAACAAAAACAATGTTTTATATGTTATTTAGATACATAAAATTTTTTATTTTGATTTATTTTTCTGACTGCGTGTAATTGTTATTATATTATTTTCTTTTCGGGGCTCCAGTCAAAGTGTGAAATATTTTTTTTGTATATCGTTTATTTCATTACTGTTCGGCGAGACAACAGCGCCATCAGCAGATTTTAAAATTTATTCAAACCCATAATTGGGAAACATTATATTCATTTGCTGTCTTGAACCTTCAATTTGCTTTTTTTTGTTTTCTTAAAAACATTGAAGGTTCAAGACAGCAAAGACCTAAATGTATATGTTTCCCAATTATGGGTTTGAATGCATTTTAAAATCTGATGATGGCGCTGTTGTTCTCGCCGAAACGTAACGAAATAAACGACATACAAAGAAAATTACTTCACACTGTGACTGAAGCCCAGGAAAGAAAATAATATAATACATTTTTTTATAATATAATTTTTATCCCTAGAAACCAGACGTAAAATGTTGAATTTAGCATGGTAAATCAATGGAATGTTCGAATCACTTCCTTTAAATAACCTTTTCTTCCTATATTTATAAAAAAAATCGCTTTTTTGATTTAAAAAAAATATAGGTTGTTTTGCACATTTCTTGCTTCACTTTTCCCTCTTTTTGAATCTTTTGAATCGTTTCCTTTAATTGAGTTTCTTCTTGAGTTTTAATAATAAATATTGATTTGTGTTTTCCAAGTTGTCCAATGAATCGAAAGAAAACACTGCGAATGTATTGCAACTCTTGCACCAATTGAAGAAATAATACTTTCAACGCCTAAAGTAAATTGTTCGCTTTGCACTGTGGAAATTGTGGCGTTATTACATGATGACTGTTTCTTTATTATAATGTTTTAATCGTTTTCTTTCCTTCAGACTTAAAAAAATAAACAGTATAAATTTAGTTGTTAGTAAAACATATTTTTTACTTAACAATAAAAAAAATTGCATGTTTTTATAGTACCTACTCTCAAAAGAGATAAGCTTACGGGGAATTTTCTAGTAACTGATGATAACTCTTGGGGTTTGAGGCCGTGGTGAACTGTTTCCACTGGTGAAACGTTTCGCGAGCCCGAGGGACTTGCATCTTCAGATGTGATTGGCTCGAAAGCTTATACTGATCTCAGAAAAACTCTAAATTCACAATAAATTTCACATACCTTTCATTCGAAAGGTAACAAACTTTCTATAATCTTATTTAGTTTACTAATAAATTTTATTATATTTACACTGATATTTTATTGTACTTTTGATGGAAATACACAAATCAAAAATGCACATTTTTCAAAGGAAATGTGCAACGGATAAAATCTAAAGCAATCGAAAACTTGATATTTTAGTAAACAAGGAGTAAATAGAATTTGAAATTTTGACGAGAAAAATTTATATTCTCATTAGAAAAAATCGAGTTTGAAGTTTAACGAGAAAAATGTATATTCTCATGACAATAATATGGAAGTATCTAATGGACTAGGGAACGAGTTTTGAGTTCCTGCCATACCATAAAAAGAACAAAAAGTCAGCAGGATCGCACATGGAGTACAGTTTACACATTCCGAACGGTATATTTTTTAAAATAAAATTTAAGAGGAAAACTGTAAACCCATATTCGGTTTCCAACAACTACCCGAGAATCTGCCGAATACAACGGCCATAAATC